GGATGAGTCCCTGGCCCAGGGCTTCCAGTGCATTCTTGACCTCTGGGTCATGGCTTCTGGGAGCTTCTGAGTTTGGACAGGTCTTTGGAAGCAGCCTGGGGTCTTTCCTAAGCCGGGTCTTGAGCAAGAGACTGAAGCCAGCCACAGAGGCCCCAGGCAACAGCCTGTACACTCACGGAGCCCTCAAATAGGCATGGGCTCTTTCTGTGTAATTTCCTACATTGATGCCCACTGAGCTTCCAGAAAGAAACTACATTCCGTGCAATCTACTGTTTTTACACAGGGAGGACCAGTTTTTGAAACGACAATGAATCTACTAAGCAATGATAATTATCTATCTATCCATCCATCCATCTATCTGCCCATCCATCATTTCTTACCTCTGCTCATTCAAAGAGCCTGGAAATGATACCCCAGCAGCAATGATCATGCCTGATTCCAGATCTTGGTTTCTAAATGTGATCTCCTACAAAAAGAAACTAGGGTTTCCTGGAGAAATTGATGATTCCAGGACTTTGACAGGAATAGTTCAAGGTGAGCCTGGAACATCTCTTGCCAGACAGCAAAGAAGCAATCAAAGTTTAATGAGGTCATGTCAAAAGAACAGAGATCTTAACAGTTCTCACCAAAAAGAAAAATTTTTTTTTGGTAACTGTGTGTGGTGATGGATGTTAACTAAACACACTGTGATCATTTTGCAATATATACATGTATCAGATCACTATGTTGTGCACCTAAAACTAATACAATGTTATATGTCAATGATAATCTCAATAAAAAAAACGAAAGAACACAGGAGCAGGCTTAAACGGACTCTCATCGGCCAAATTTGGGACAATCTTAGTACCAAAAAAGATTAGTGATGATAATGGGTTATAACACATCAAATTTAAAAGAAATCATGGGTCTAAGTTACTCCAAAAAGAAAAAGAGAGGGAGAGGAGAGGGAGTGAGAAAGACACACAAACTGCACACACACAGAGGAAAGAGTTATTCTACAACAATGAATGCCAGCTAATAAATATAGAAAGAATGGCATAATTAGAAAATTACCATTTTGCAACCCTCTGTGTTGCAAATCATCAGTGGACATGGAATGAAAGGTTACCAGGAACACACAATTCCTCAAAGAATCGCTCCACAGACTACCTATTAATTTCAAGGGGGAAAATTTTACCCTGATATGAAGAGATCAAGCTGTCATGATTTTAACCAATAATCAAATTTAGCATTCGTGGAGATAGTAGGACCCTGCTATTATATGTGTGATACAATAAGAAGTCTACAACATTGCTGCGAAAAAAAATCAAAACCTGAACTAAATCTAATCATTGATAAAATAATCAAACAAATTTAAACAGGTGGAGGAGGTTCACTCGAGATAAAATGAATTGCTTAAAGAGATAGAACTAAATGCGATGCATGAATCTTGACTGCATCTGATGAAAAACAAACCTACAGAAGATATATTTTGGCCGTTGGGGAAATCTGAATATCAACTGTTTATTAGATAATGTTGACTTCTTGCTTATTTTCTTAGGTATGATAATGATATTATGGTTATATAAGAGAATGTTATAACGAGGAGATACCTGCTGAAGAATTTAGGGGTCAATTAGGGGTCAAGTGTCAAGATGTAACTTTTTTTTTTTTAAAGATTTTACTTTTTTCTCCCCAAAGCCCCCCGGTACGTAGTTGTATATTCTTCGTTGTGGGTCCTTCTAGCTGTGGCCTGTGGGACGCTGCCTCAGCGTGGTTTGATGAGCAGTGCCATGTCTGCGCCCAGGATTTGAACTGACGAAATACTGGGCCGCCTGCAGTGGAGCGCGCGAACTTAACCACTGGGCCACGGGGCCAGCCCCAAGATATCTGTAACTTTTAAATAGCTTAGCAAAAAAAGTGTGTGTGTGTGTGTGTGTGTGTATAAAAGCAAAATCAGCAATGTGTGAATTGGTCCATCTAGGTGAAAGGCTGTTCTTTGAACTTTTCTGTAGGCCTGAAAATTCTAAAAGCATTTTCATTTTGAAAGAAGGAGGAAGAAAAGAAGACTTCCCTTGTAGGACTACAGATGGGAAGTTCCAGTCAGAGTGCCCAATAAATAACCAGATTCAGTAAGTGGTAGATTTGTTACGACTACTACTAAGAAGCATTAAAATCTCATCATTTTCCTCTCCAGCTGTTGCCATGCTTTGGAGGATGAGGAAGCCAACCGGGGCTACGGTAAAGCAGCCACAGCTGGTGGGGGAGTCAGAATTTAATCCTGACGGGTCTCACCCGTAGAAACCACAACGCTAGGTCTGACTGCCTCTGCTGGGATCCAGACTGGGAGAAGATGGCTGCTCACGCCTTGCTTCCCCTGCCTCCTCCCGAACCCAGGGTCTCTGCTATCACAGAAGAAAGTCCCGTCACGGCTCACCCAGAATGCTCACAAAGAGGGGCAACTTCTGGGCCTCACAAGGGAGAGGGATGGGCAGAAAGAACTGGAGGGGGCTTTGTCAGGGAGAGGCAAGTGCTCAGGCTTTGGCATTACCTGGGCCTGCGTTTGAATCAGGCTCTGCCACTTACTAGTGCTGTAGTCCTAGGCCGATGGTGATCATACCAACAGCAGTAATAATAATGGCTGACACTTACTGAGCAGTTACTACTGTGCTAAGCACTTTATGCATATTGATCTCAAAGATGAACTAGATACTATTATTATCTCTACTCTACCAGGCCAGGCCTTCTCCTCTCCCTGCAATTTGATATCTGCCTGCACTGCGAAGGAAAACCTCATTCATCTGCCAGGCCCCACAGCTGGAATTCATTCCTTCCTCCTCTGCATCTCCAGAGCATTTTCTTTTCACCCCTTACCAAGGCCCCTATACTTAAGTAGATGGGTGCCTGGCCACCCTGTTGGGGCTGGGATCTCCCCTCTGTGTTACCCCCCCTAGAAGCAGGGAGAGTAGAGGAAGGGAAAGAAATTTCTTCCCATATTTAGTCAGAGCCACTTTCCTCACCTCAAACTGTCATCTACCAACAGGGAGGTTTATCACTCTGTCCTGAAGTTTTTAGGGGTTGTGCGTGTGAGGAAGATTAGCCCTGAGCTAACATCTGTTGCCAATCCTCCCCTTTTTGCTTGAGGAAGATTAGCCCTGAACTAACATCCGTTGCCAATTCTCCCCTTTTTGCTTGAGGAAGATTAGCCCTGAGCTAACATCTGTTGCCAATTCTCCCCTTTTTGCTGGAAGAAGATTAGCCTTGAGCTAACATCTGTGCCAGTCTTCCTCTACTTTGTATGTGGGACGCCTCCACAGCATGGATGATGAGTGGAGTAGGTCCACAAAGTCCGAACCTGTGAAGCCCAGGCCGCCAAAGCGGAATGCACAGAACTTTAACCACTCGGCCAAAGGGCCAGCGTCTCTTTCTGAATTTTAAAAACTTTTTATTTTGAAACACTCTTTTGAATTTTCAGTTTGGAATCTAAGACCCAGATGACCACTTGGAAGTAAATATAAGAACTCCCAATGTGTAAGAGACGGATAGAAGACAGCTGGGTAAATTTTAAGGATGACAATGCTCAGAGTGAGGAGTGTCTTCCAGTAAATGGGATGAGACTATCCCTCCTCACTCAGCCCTCCAGGATCAAAGACTCTGGCTCACAGCCCTGGGGACCATATGGAGCACTGCCCTTCACGTCCCCTTCCTGGCCTCCCCACTCCCAACAGCTCTGTTTTGCCCAGGTCATACCTATAAGTCCACAGGCTGCTCCATTACCCCCACAACCCTCACTGTAGGGGGAAAAGGTGCTTCCTAGACTCAGGTGACACACACATGCCCCAGCAGGGCACATGATAGGCAAAGGTGGGCTGGAGGAGGGAAGCCACTGACCCAGCAACCCGACTCCCCGACGTGCACAGCAAAGTATTCTCTCACCTGGTGCCAACTCCCAACCACCACCACCATCCCCCATTCTCTTCCAGAACTTTCCTTCATCCTCTCAGCTCACTCTCAGGCTTCATCTTGTGGTTTTCTTCCGGCACAAGCACCCCATTTCAACCACTCTCTTTCTTATGGCCTTCCTGCTCCTCACAACAATTATGATTTATAAACAAAGGGCTTTCAAATCCATCTCCTCATTTCATCCTCACAATAACCTTAGGAGGGTTGCCTTACAAGTTGGCCTTTAGAAGGGTTTAGAAGCTGGTCCTGCCACACAACCTGCAAAGGGCAGGACACGGAAAGTTGTGTTTCTTCCTTGCCATCCACTCCCGACTAAACCTCTGCCTTCCTGCAGGCAGGAAAAAAAGCAGGGTTTTCGGAGTAAGGAGTCCCGGGTGGTTTTGGGAAATTCACTTCACTTCTCTGAGCCTCATATTCCTCACCTGTAAACAGATACGGTGATATCTATACAGGGTGTGAGGGCTGAATGAGTTCATGTGTGTGACGCAGTAAGTTTAAGGGATGGGCTCTTTATTTCTAGTCACAAGGAAAGGAAGGTGTTCTGTGCATTCCCAGGTGTTTGCTCACTTGGCCACCCCTTGCCCAAACCGTATCAGCGCTGCCGACACTGGGTTTCCCAGGGCTGGGAGGGGTCCTTTCCTAATGCTTTTTGGCCCATTCCACCCAGTCCAACCCAGACTTCATCGGCTTTCTCAGCACCGGCTCCCCAGCCCTGGAGAACCCCTCTCCGACCTCACACGGGCTCGCGGTCTCACCTAGAGACTCCGCCCCTCCTTGCCCCACCCACCAGAGATCCCTCCCACAGTCTCGACCCTCCTGATCCGGGCTTTTCCTATCATCACCATCCATCTCGGCTGCTTCCACCAGCTCCGCCCTCTCTCCCCAATATGCGCCCCCTCCCCCGCAGATACCGACATTGCCATTCCCATTGCACAGATGAGACTGGCGAGGCTAGGGAAGGCTAGATGACCTCTCACGGTAGGACAGGTGCTCAAATGGGCACGCGTCCCCTCACCGGCTGTCCCTGCGTCCCGAGCCCCCGGCCCCACGGCACGCACCTCCTGCCCTCGCTCTGCAGCCTCCCCTCCGCGGGCGGCCAGCGCAGCTTTGCGAGGGGGGCGGAGGGCCGAAGCCCAGCCCAGGGGCGTGGCGGCCCGGGGCCTGCGCGCTGTGCTCCGGGACTTGTAGTTCTCCTTGGGCTCTTTGCTGCTCGGCGCGCCTGGTGCGAACTCCGTCTCCCAGGAGGCATTGCGGTGAGCCGTCCAGTGCCCCGCCCCCGCCAGCGCTCAGGCCGGCTGGCCTTAAAGGGGACGCGGCGTGAGTGGAGGTTCGCGGGGTGGCCCCCGCTCCGGCTCCGCCCCGTTTCCCGCACCGCGCCCCTCCCCCCGCTTCGTCCCGCAGACCGGCGGCCGCACCGCTGAGTCGGGCTGCCTGGGTACAGGCTTGTGCAGAGCGGGGCGGGGAGGTTGGACTTGCAGTGGAAGCAGCATCCCTGCAGTCTGGGACTTGGCGGAGGGCGTCCCCACTCGGGGGTGGGCAGAGGACCCGCCCTGACCTAGCCTGGCCCAGTCTAGTCCTGCTGGGCCTGAGCGCCCCGCCCAGGAGCCGGCTCTGAGGCGGGGGCCACTGGGGTCCCAGAGGTAAGGGGGCTGGGGGCGTGTGTGCGGGTTGAGGGGAGGGAGTGTCTGCACCCTGGCGGTTCGAGAGCCCCGAAGGCACGCGTAGGGCTTTGAGAGCCTGGGGCTGAGAGGCGGGAGGTCTGGGTGCATCCTGGGCCTCGCTGTGTGACCTTGGGCGAGTAGCTGTCCCTCTCTGGGCCTCAGCCTCCTTCTTCATCAATTGTGTATCGAGGTGATCCCGTCTCTACCTCCCTCAGGGTTGACGGCACCCGCGCCCAGTACCATGAAGCTCGCCAGCCTTTCGTGGGGTCTGCAGCCCCAGCCTGGGCTGAGCGCAGGTGCACTGGTATAACTGGAGGGAGACGTGGCGCCAAGCTGGGGCACAAACTGAAGGGCCAAGAGGCCTCCACTGCTTAGAGTGGACTTCTGCTCTCTCAGCATCCCCGCCGGGTACTCCCCCTACAAGAGCCCTTGCGAACGTGAGACCCCCTGGGTTAGCCTAGTGCCAGCCCTTCCAGAAAGCCTGGGGTGGGGGTGGGGACACGGCCATCAGAGATTTATGAGGGGAGGCCCCCCGGACGGAGAAGGGAATAGATGCTCCCACCCGCTTCCCTTCTCTCCTTCCATTCCTCTTCAGTAAAATAGCAGTTGCTTTTAACCAGTAAAACCCTTTTTTCCTTTCTTTCCAGGAGACAGGTTGGTGGCCCAGAGGAGGGCCTCCCAGTAGTGGGGGGAGGGGCCCCTTCCCAGGGCTGCCTTGGGTAGAAGAAGTTCAGTTAAAAAATACCCAGAGAGACGCTGCTGCCCACACCTGGGGTGCCAGGGAGGGAGGGCCCTTCCGGGTGTCGACAGGGACAGCCTGGTGCCCCCAAGGCAGCTCTGACGCCCAGGGGAGTCAAAGGAAGACGACTGGGTGGGAGGGTCAGAGAGGAGAGGAAATGGCCTCCTCAACCCTTAGATGCTGAGCTGGGGCTTGGAGGGGCTGCTGTGCTCTGGGGTAGGGAGACGTTGAGTGAGACGTTCTTGAAGCCCCCTCCCCTGTCCCATGAGATTCTGCAAGCTCTTGACCTGATGGTTAACCAGGGACAGTGTTTTATTTTGTTTTGTTTATTTTTCTTGTTTGAGTCATTTCTAGAAGGGCTAAAGCTTCACTCAGTCCCGTCCACTGACCTCTGTAGGGGCTTTCTTGGCTGATGCTTAACAGTCTCAGGGATATGGATATGCAGGAGCAGACCTGAGCAGAGGAGGGGCCAGTCACTGGCCCAGGGGTTAGGCCGGTGCTTTTCTGGTTATATCGTTGGTTTTATCTCATCTTGCTGTCACATGCCTCTTATCAGTCACTTGGCACTCCTTCACCTCTATGCCTGGTCCTGTGCTAGGCACTGGGCCCAGACAGGGGGATTGGACCTGCTTCCTACCAAAGGAGACCCCATCCTGCTGGGGGAGCTAGACAGAGAATCCAGCGACACTGCCAAGGGATGACAGAAGGGAAGAGAGGATCTTGGAAGCCAGAACTCAGAGGCTTGGTCTGCAGAGGGGACTAGGAAATGCTTCCCAGAGGAGGGGGCATGTGACCTGGGCATTGGAGGATGAGTCAGAATTTTCCAGGAGAGAAGACAGACAAGCACTTTCTCAGCAGAGAGAACATCACCAAAAAGTCCCACTGCCCAGATTCCTGTAGATCCATTACTGAACAGCATTTGTCAGGTTCATCCTCCACCCCTGCCCCGCATCAGCCAGGTGTCACAGAAAGGGCTTGAATGTCAGGCACAGGAGTTTGGACCTTATCCTGAAGCGGTTGAGGAGCTTGAGAGTTCTGAGCAGGGGCATGGCAGGGTGGGGTTTATCATCTACTGGGATTACTCTGACCATGTTTGGCGTGGGTCAGAGAGACAAGGGAGGGATGAGGAAGCTTGAGTTGGGGCCCAGGGCGGGGCAGGGCATTGTACACAAACACACACGCACACACACGCGGTGCTTTGGGGATGATGGAGATGAGTCAGGCTGCACCATGCAGGAACAGAGACCTATCAATACACAGCAGAAATGTGGAGGGTCATTTGAGAGGGACAGATAAAGGGATCTGGGCCTTCCAGGGGAGGGGCCATGATGTTCCTGTGTGCTTACTTTGTGCCCAGAGCGGGCTGGGTGTTGCTGGGACTCTCCGGCTGGAATGCCAGCATGAGAGGAGCAGCGGCTTTGGCTGGGAAAGGCCAAGTGGTGGGCAAGTGGTCATCTCCTGTTTTGGGGTTCAGAGGCTCAGAGAGGTGAAGGAGCACCAACTTTGTTGCCGTGGCCACCGTTGGGGGTGCTGACTGGGCTAGATTCTGGGCTCTATTCTCCTGCAGGATACATGCCTCTATTGGCAGATGGATTAAGGAGGAGAATAGGAGATTGAGTAGGAGGCTACTGCACTAGTCCAGGCAAGAAGCAAAGAGGAGCTGATCTTGGGTGGGGCTGGAGTTCAGCGGGAGAGAGTGGACATGCTGAGTTGGTGGTGAGGGCTAATGGATGAAATTTCTTGTAGAATTAGCTAGGTCAGGAGTGTATATCTCCCTGTCTCCTTCTCTGACAGTGTCTGTTTCGCTCCTTAGTGCCCGATGGCCCAAGAATAGACTTATGACTGCCCTAGCCCTTATCTTCTTTATACCTTGTCCCAACCCTATCCGTAGTTAGGCCAGAATGGTCCCCATTTTCCAGGTGAGAAGGCTGAGTAGCCGAGCAGAGACTCAGCCAAGGTCACCTGGTGATTCTGAAGTAGAGAACCTGGGTCTCCTGCTTTCAATGCAGGCTCCTCTGGGGGAGGGTAGGGCTGCCATTTGCTGCTGCGTTGGGCTTGGGGCAGCTGTTTCTTGGGTCAGAGCCAGCCCCGACAGGCCGTCTCCTTGTCCAGAGCTGAAAGGGGTAATCCAGCCTCTCCTGAGGAATGCTGGCGGTCTGCTCTTCCTCCCCAGGGAGGCGGAGGGCAGGTTCTGATCCCGCCCCACCACCGCCCTGCCCCTCTCCCTCGCTGATCCTCGGCTTTTGCAGTCATGCCATAGGGATGGCAGGTCTTGTCCTGCCTCCCTTCCCTGGCCTGTGGTGGGGTCAGGTGAGGTCCAAGCCTCTATAAACCCCTTTTGCATGAATGCATCCAAGACATTATCGAGTGGGTTTGTTGGTGACCATGGTGACAGCTGACCTCAGACTGCCTGCGTGGGAGTCGGGGGCAGCAGGCAGGGCTTGCCTGGAGGGGCCAGGCCAAGGACTGCACAGAGGCTGCAGGGCTGGCCTCGGAGATCAGAGCCCTCATGGAATGGCTCCACTGACGGAGCTCCCGCTGCCGGCACAAACCACTCATGTGGCAGATGTCAGCTAGAACAACAGGAAGTTGCCAACATCTGATCCATCACTCGTGGTTCAACCTGATGTCATTTATCCCCATTTTACAGAAAAGAGTCTCGTGATGTGATTTGCTCAAGGTCACATGATGAGTTGCAGAACAAGGATAAGATTTGCTCAAGGTCACACTCGAGTGCAGGAGTCCTCATTCCTAGTCTGGTTTTCTTTTCATTTCTAGAGGCTTCCCTCGCCTCGGAACTCCATTTCTGCCTGCCCCCTGTCCTCTTCCTCCACACATGAATGTCAATCGCTCATCGATTAGGGTTTCTCCTTGGCTGCCCGAATACCAGAATTTCTTGGCATCTTGGGTTGAAAGCATTTTAAATCCACTAGTCTGGAGGGCAGGGGTAGGCGTTGGGGTGATGGTCTGCAAGGGAGGTTGGTCACAGCCACTGCCTTGTCACATGCACTGCCTAGGAAAGAGAGGACCCGGGCTAGAGGGAGAACAGTTTTTAAAGACACTTTTAAAGGCCTTTTGAAGTTGCGCCTTGTGTTGGCATGCTTTACCAACATGTCTGCCTCCCCCGCCAGACTGGAAGCTCTTAAGGGCAAGGACTTTGCTTCTAAAGCTAAGGGGACTGATGTTTTCTGAGCAATTCCGTGTGCCCCACGTCATGCTGAAGACTCTAGTTGTCTTCACAACAACCCTGCAGGGTGGAAACAGAGGCTCAGAGAGTGTGAGTAACCCGGATGGGCAGCAGATGCATCCCAGATGAATCTCATTCAGAGTGAAAAAAACAGAGGCTAAGGCACTGATCAGGAGGTTTGGAGTGGGCCCTGGGTGTATGAACTTGCCCCGAGTGCCCCGGTGATTCTGAGGCAGCCCGGCCAGCCTTTGGGAACTACTGGTCTGTCCCCTGGCTACCCCCACAGTCATCTCTTCAGAGGCACTCAGTCTGCAGTGACTGGCATGGGAGAAGCCAGCCACTGAGAAATGAGCCCCAATCCCTGCCCTGAGGAGCTCACAGCCTGGTGAGAGGAGAGAGGCTTATACAAATGGGCCCATTGCATTGGCAGCACAGGCAGTAGTGGCGGTTTGGTCTTGGCCAAGAGCTAGAATGGAGAAGGGAACGTCCATAGAGCCTGGCACATAGTTCGGGTCCCACAATATCTGTAGTTATGAATAAAAGTTTCTGGCCCCCCATCTAGGAAATGTCTAGCTGTCTT